TTTTATTTCAATGGTGCAGATTCCCAGGAGTGAAGCTGCTGTGTGCAGGGCATATGTATATTTAATTTAAATAGCTATTGCTACATTACCTTCCAAAACAGCAATAACAATTCACACTTCCCATTAGTGAGAATAGCCTTTCCTGGCACCTGAGACATCTCCAGGCAGCTTAATTTAAAAAGTTTTTGCCAGTCATAGGATCTAATGGAGTTTAAACTACAAAAGTACAAGAGGGTCACCAGGAGCTTTCCCACCGGGGGTGGATCCCCGGGTCCCTTACTCTGTTCAGCCAGAACTACCTATATGTCTTAAGGAAAGATTCTAGAACAAAGACACATTTGAAAAACTTTGTTTCTAGGCCACAGGTAAGGAGTGGCTGGTGAAGGCTTTCAACACATGGTACTTTGAAGGCCTGGGCAGCAAGGACATCTGGAGCCCAAAGAGAGCTAGACTGGGGCAGAGTGCTGCCAGGGAACTACTGGGGAGACACTACCTAGTGTGGGTGGAGTCAGGCGACAGGAGGACAGACACCCAAGGTGCACGTGGATCAAGAGGGTGGGGTCCTGGAGAGAGATGAGGATGGCGAATCTTGGCTCCTGGGAGGACAGGCTTTCTGTACTGGGTGCTTTCCAGAGATGATGCTCCAGTGTTCCTTAACCTTGGGCTTTACCTAGGGGCCTAGTACAGGCTGTGGGCAGGGACTGACTGGGAAGGAGGCCACATAAATAAAAAGCAAGTAAATATAAAAATTGGGTTTTTTGGGGGGGTTGTTTTGTTTTGTTTTGTTTGGTCTTTTTGAGGCAGGGTCTCCCTGTAGCCCCAGCTGTCCTGGAACTCACTGTGTAGACCAGGCTGGCCTTGAACTCACAGAGATCCGCCTGCCTCTCTGCCTCCGGAGTGCTGGGATTAAAGGCGTGAGCCACCATGCTTGGCTAAAAATTGGTTTTTTAAAGGTGGAGCGGAAGTTGGGGATATAGCTCAGTGGTGGGATGCACACAGCACACAGAAAAGAAGTTGACTCTAGTGAGAAGTCTCCTTGTCATTGGGGACATTCCTTTAAAAAGGATTCTAAGCCAGGCATAGTGGCACATGCCTTTAATCCCAGCACAGGAGACAGAGGCAGGCAGATCTCTGTGAGTTCAAGGCCAGACTGGTCTACATAGTGAGTTCCAGGACAGCTGGGGCTACAGGGAGACCCTGTCTCAAAAAGACCAAAAAAAAAAAAGGATTCTGGGACCCCAGCCCCTTCCTCTTCCCTTTCATATCTGGGCCATGTGGCGAATGGTTTCATTACATGCTCCTATCACAATATTCTGCTTTGCCACAGGCCCAAAAGCAACAGGGCCAACCTACTAAGGGCTTAAATCTTTAAAACTATGGCCAACCAACTTAAAGTTGATTGTTGTCCTAGTTTGTTCTTCACTGCTGTGACAAAACACTCTGACCACTACTAACTTGAGGAGGAAAGGGTTTATTTAGCTTACATCTCCCAGGTCACAGTTCATCAGGGAGCACAAGGCAGGAACTCAGGGCAGGAACCCAGAGGCAGGAGCTGGAGCACAGGCCATGGAGGAATGCTGCTTACTGACTTGCTCCCCTGGCCCCTGCTCACCCTGCTTTCTTATGCAACACAGGCCCACCTGCCCATGGATGGCACCACCCACAGTGGGCTGGGCCCTCCCACATCACATGTCAAGAAGATGCCCCTCAGACATGGCCACAGGCCAGTCCAATAGAGGAAATTCCCCAATTGAGGCTCCCTCAACCCAGGTATGTCAAGTTGACACTAAAGCTATCCAGCACAATTGTCAAGTACTTATATGTTAGAAGCAATAACATGATATTCAGAGAGAGCCTTAAAAATGAAGAGATAAGTCATATTCACGGATTTGAAGATTCAATATTCTCCACAAAGTCATCTACAGAATCAGTGCAATACCAACCCAAATTCCAAAAAGTTATTTTGTGGAATTTGAGCTTCTCCCTCTGAAGCGTTTTAAAGCAGAAAGCAAGTAAGGACCAAAAATTTCTGCAAAAGAAAAGCAAGTGGGAGAGTTTCCCCGGTGTATGTTAAATATTAAGAAAATATACCAGGACAGTTCTGCATTAGCATTGCATCAGTCTATCCATGAAGCGGAAAAGAGAGCCAGAAGCAGACCCACTGTGACACTGAAATGTACCTATGGCCCTCCTCGTTTACAGATGCACAACTTCTAGAACCCTTGGAATGGCCATAGTGATAACTGTGTTTTGAATGCTAATGAGATGATCAGTTCTCTTTTTTAAACATTTTATTACATTTCTTGTGTGTGTGTACACATGTGTGTAACATGTGTACACATACACTTGCCACAGCCTGTGGAGATAAGAGGCAACTTGAGTTGGTTCTCGCCTTCCTCCCGTGTACATTCCAGGGATTGAGGCCCAGACTTGGCAGTTAATGCTTTACCTGCCAAGCCATATCACACACCCAAGTGTCTGTTTCTTAAACTGGGTGTTTCTCTGTCGCAATTCCTATATCTTAGGTGTAGTCTATAAGCTGTGAATTCTCTATATTTAAACATTGAAAAGAAAGGGTTAAGAAGAAATGACCAGATTAAATCATGCGACAGTAGAGAAAAGAGGTGGAATTGGGTGTGCTTAGCTACTGCTCTGGCCTGAGGTGGGAGCTCAGTTCCTCCCAGACCTCCTTCTTAATTTATGCTCCATATTGATGGAGGCACTGTCTTTCCGGCAACACAGTCTTTGCACTTGTTGGATGGGGTTAATAAAAGGCGCTACCCATAACTTCCGAGTGGCTCTTACATCTAGTGCAAACCCAAGCGCGGTACCGTGCAAGGTGGTGCTGCTGTTAAGCTTTCACAGGAGCTGGGAGAGAGCCGACATTACATCCTGTGAGTCAGTCTAACCCAACCCCACGCTGGGGGCCGCCCAGTTTAGAGGAACAGGTTAGGCGCTGCTGTTCCAGCTTCACAGGTGTAAGGATAACTAGATTATAGGATTAATGTCACTTATCCAGGGGAAGGAAAGAGTCGAGCCTCAACTACAGGAAGAGGGGAGACAGGGCCGGTCCCACCGCACAGCCTTCAGCTGGGTCATCCTGGGTCATCCACAGCAAAGGGCTCCGCTGGAGTCCCCAGGCTCCAGCTCCTGGGAGTCCACACCGCGCTCAAGAGCCGGCTTTAAATATGTTGGGGCAAGGAAAGTAGCCAGTCTGCACCCTATCACACCCAATGCCATCCCTTGCCTGCTGCACCCACGGTAATGTCCAGAGTAAACGCCACTTCGCTTCTATCCCACTTCTATTTTAAACTGTATCCCCAATACAAACAAAAGATTTGCTACTTGTTTTATTTTGGTTCGTTCTGTTTTCGTCCTTTAATCAGTATTACTGTCTCCTCCACTGGTGCGTAAAGCAGAAGCTAAAGGACACAGCTTTTCGTTCTGCAGAGGACCAGGCCGCTTCTCCGGCCCGCCCTCACCCACACCGGGAAATGCTGCCCGCCCGGGCTGGCACCTCCTCGCGGCCTCTCCGACGCAGCACCGCCTTGTGCAAGGTCTTCCAGCCCTGGAAAAGAGCCCCAACGGAAGGGCTCGGATTCCGTTTGTCTTTACCAATAGGGTTCCCTTCCTCGGCTCGTTTACAGCGGAAGCATCTCCGAGGAGATTAAGTTGGTTTCTGGGAGCCGAAACACCCCGCCCACCCTGACCTTCCCGGAAAGACTAAGTCTTGTTACCCGCCCCACACACGCCCCCTTACGGGAAAAACGTCCAGACCTCGCAGGCTGTGCAACGCGTTCGGTGTCCACACGAGGGCACCGGTTCCGAGTGTCAGCCATGGGGTGTGGATAAGGGCTGCCAGGCGTACTTTTCCAGAGGGAAGTGAGCGGAGGGGATCCCTCTGCCCAGACAGAGCAGTGAGAAGGAAGGGCCCGGCGACAGCTACAGAAGGAAGAGCTCCAAGAAGTACTAGACTTCCCACCCAGTAGAGAAAGAAAGCAGCTTAATGTCACGAAGTTGATTGGAGAAGATAGTGAGGAAAAAAGATATGGTCTCCATGTGAGGTCAAGACTTTTCCCCTCTGGTCCTGGGAAGAAAGTTGACCAGCCTGAATTAGGCACTACAGGCAAGGAAGATCTATAAGACCCAGACAAATCCCAGCTGTCCCCACCCCTCCTGTCTGAAAATGTTGGTGCAGACAATGGACAGTAACTTAGTCATCTTCTCAAACAGGAGGAGAAGGCTCAGCCCTTCTCCAGTGGACTAGCCCAATGATTCATTCTGCTGAAACTGCAGGGACAGGCTAGGTCAATATTGACAGGAAGGCTTGAAGCCACATTTGGCCCTATCTAGGGAACCCCACCACACCCTGTATGTGAGAACCCCATGATCCACATGCTCATGGAGCTGCCAGCAACTCGACCACCGCCCCAAAAAAGGGACCCATACCTGAAAGCAAGAACAGACTCCTTAAGTGTACCCACCTCCAAAAGGGACATGGGCAGCTGCAGGAAACTCAGTCATCCCATGTCTTTAGTGGTCTTGGGCATCTCAGATGTGTCCTCTCTTCACCCCCACCCTACCCCATACTAACACAAAAACACGCCTCGCAGTGAAAAGGTAGGTTGCCCAACCCCAGGGCTTGGCCATCACTTTCCCTCTCACCACACCCAGAGGAAAGCATGGCTTCTGGGAGCTGGCTAGGACTACTACTTCTGCCCTACTTGTAGGGGCCCCAAACAGTCACAACCAGTCCAGTTTCTTCCTCAGGCTCCTCCTAGACCCTCTCCCTGAAGAACACTTGAGCCTTTGCCTAAGGTAGCTTTCCCAAGAGGGGCAACTTTTCTAACACCCATAAAGACTCCTGTTGAGCTAACAGGCCTCGGGGGAGGGGGCAGTGAGCCCCTCAGAGACTGGCTATGACAAAGACTGTCTGATGACTGGTATAGAAACCAAGCCAAGATACAATCAGAAATCACTGGAAGGCCAGAACACAAGAGTAGATATAACAAAAACAAAATATTTATTGTACAATTACCCACCACTGGATTTGACTGAGAGAACCGCCCAGAAGGCATCTCTGCCTTCCCATTTATTTGAGAGCTTCATTGTAGATCAAGGCCAAGGCCCCCAGGAAGGTGACATACTCCTGGAAGTTCACTTCCTGATCCTTATTCCGGTCCAGATCATCCATCAGTCTTGCAATTTCAGCATCCTGCAGCTTCTAATGTGTTAGAATGGAAAGTCCACACTCAGTGGTGAAGAGCACCTAGAGTCCTTTCCCCCTTCCCTGAAAGCCCTCTCTCATACAAGTGATTCTGCTCACTTATCTCCAAGGACAGGCATCCTCCTTGTTGACCTTGGTGTATTTCTCTAGCCCCTGCTCCTCCCTCAGGGGAAGAGGACAGCAGGCTGGGAGGGAGACTCCCCGTTTCTTCAAGGGAATGGGGAATGGGTCCTCTGCTCAGTAAGAAGCCCACCAGATAGACAAGAGGTGGGAGGAAGGGCCTGGGCAGAGGCTACTCACTGAGCCAATGGTCAGCTCCTTCTGGATCAGCTCCTTCAGCTCCTTCTTGCTCAGGGTGTGCTTGTCACCCTCCTTGCCAGAGTACTTGTGGAAGATGGCCACGAGGAGGCCAATAGCCTGATCCAGGGGGCATGCCATGACTGAGGACTGGGCTGGGAGCTGGTTGACAGAGGGGCTGCTCAGTGCTTTTGGCAAAGAAGACTTCTCAGTCACCCCCACACCACCACCACCATACCCTGTAACTACTGCCTGAACCACCCAGCCTCGGACCACACACAAGTGGCAACCCAGGGCAGCTTGGCCAGGGGAGCAGCACCCCAAGGGGGCCAAGCCAAGGAAGAGAGGTAGTTCAAAGGGACTGAGGAGAGCAGGGTTTGGGGAGTCTGAGCACTGTCCTCCAGGCTTCCAGGGGAGCTGGGACATCTGACTGAGCAGGGGAGGGGGATGGAGGCTGCAGCGTACACCCTTAGGCACTGCCAGGCAGAGCCACACACTACGACGACAACAACACACCCAGGACACACCCTCCTGCACCCCAGAAGAGCAGACTCGGGGAGCCGCCCCACAGAGATGCCTTAGCCGCGGGCTGGCCTGGCACTGTAAGGCGATCTGAATCTCCCTCCCTCGCCCGGGCTCCGCAGACTGGGTCCCAGCCTGGACCCCAGCGCAGACTGCCCGCGGAGCTCGCAGCCGCTGGGCTAGGACAGGAGGTGTCTGAACCTCCTGCCGGAGCTGGGCGGCCCTAGGGGCACCCTGGGATGCCCCAGCGAGAGCTCACCTCACAGTAGACAGCGAAGCAGCGAAAGAAGTGGTCAGGGGATGGGATGTGTCGCAGTCCGGCTGGCCTTATAGCGGCCAGCATCCGGGAGGAGGGCGCAGGGAGTGCCCCCCCCCGTCCCGCCCCAGCCACACCCGGTGCCCGCTCTCGGCTCCACACACGCCCCAGTCCCCCCAGTTTCCACGCCTCCAGTGCGCGGACTGTTCCGGGTAGGGAGCCGCGGGATTGAGGGAGCCTAAGGGAGCCTGATTGGGCCTGGTAGAGACCAGAACAAGCAGGAGACTTCGAGTTTTCCCTGATTTCCATAGTTCAGTTTGCTTTTCCTGACACGTGACTTGGCAAGTGCGCTGAATCACCTGCCTGCGAGAGCACGAACGTGTCCCCAAAGTTGCATCCGTGTGAAGGGGAGGGGACATCCCACCAGTGCTGTTGTGGTCTGTGGCAAGGTCCGCTAGCTCCAGATGAGGAAGGGGAAGCAGCCAGGGGATCTGGAAGATGCACTCTTAGACCTGGGGCTATGGCTCAGTAGGTTAATCTCCAGGAGACTGGAGAGGGGCGGTTTGAGACAGTCCGGGCTACATGAGATTTTGCCTTCCTCCCCAGTGGTGGAGATTTTTGTTTCAATTCAAAAAAAAAAAAAAAACAGCTGGAAACACACCTTTAATCTTAGCACTCCTCTGGCAAAGGCAGGAGGATCTACAAGAAGACCCTGTCTCAAAAAGACCAATATGCCACGTGTGGTGGTACATGCCTTTAGTCTCAGCATAGGCAGGCAGAGCTCTGTGAGTTCAAGGCCAGCCTGGTCTACATAGTGAGTTCCAGGATAGCTGGGGCTACAGGAAGACCCTGTCTCAAAAATACCAAAAAAAAAAAAGAAAGAAAGAAAAAAAAATCAAAAAGACCAATGTGTGTGTGTGTGTGTGTGTGTGTGTGTGTGTGTGTGTGTGTGTACAGTCTAAAGGATCTAGAACATTTTAGCACCAACACCCAATGTTTTGTTTCTGACACCATCACTTTGCTCCTGGCACTGCCTTGAATTTCACCCTCAGAGCAACTTGTACATTAATGTGCACACAAGTGGAGCCAAGCCCTGTGAGCATCCTTACTTATTGAATATCTTAAGTGAAAAGTTTTGCCCTTAAGAGAAGAGAAATCTTGCGAAGAGAAAGTTGGGGGGGAGAAGGAAGTATTAGCCTCCTGATGTCCTTGGGACAGAGGGAGGGTGCTGCTGGAGCGAGGCAGAGGAAAAAGGGTTCCACAGGGAGGCCAGACCTCCTCTGCTTACAAAGACCGCCAATGTGGCTCCTGTCGGCTAGCCAAAATTCAGACCTGCTGGGCCATCACTGCCACACAGACATAACCCATCACTCTGGGCCCTTCGCTCCTAAGACACAGTTCCTCTTTGCTTTCACTGCATTATTCCTGCCTGGGGGAGGCATGTAGAAGCTGGGTGACTTCCCCATTTTCCAGGAGTACAGAACAAAGCAGAACAAGCTCAATGATGGCCACAATAAAGGACAGCAAGTGAAGTGGTAGCCCAGGACCCTGTACCCATATGCTACCTGTATGTGGCCTGAGACTGAGTGGTTCCCATGTATCCCAGCCAAGGGGAACAAGACACCTTCAAAACCAACACTTGGAATGGAAACATCTTTATTTTATCTTCTGGAAGGATCCATCTGGGAGGAAGAGAAGGGCAGGGGGGCCAAAGAGAGCCTACAAGAGGAGCTGCAGAGGTCAGTGCAAGGAGCTGCCAGTGAGGGTGGAGAGGATCCTGGTCACTTGTCCTCCAGGAAGAAGTCATTGTAGGCCATGCACAGCGTGGTCAGGAACACCGAGTACTCCTTGAAGTCGATCTCTTTGTCACTGTTTTTATCCAGGCTCTTCATCAGGTTATCAATGCTGCTCTCCTTCATCTTCTGTGAGAACAGTGGTGAGGATGGGAAAGGACAGTTCAGCAACCCCCATGAGCAGCTCAGCCCCAGAATTTGGTCCCAACCCACACCTAGCACAGGGCCTGGAACCAGTCAATGACCTGAGTCCTGATTCTGAATCAATTACAGAGGCTAGTTGAGCCTCTGCTCCCAGGACATCTTCCCACACAAAGAAATAATAATCTAGATTTTATACCAATACTTACTAAAAACAGCTTGAGGACTGGCTCTGTGGCCCTGAGCATGATCTAAATCCCAGACTTAGTCTGTCCCCATTTTAAGGCCTAGCTGGGAAAGAACCCAGACAGCCTGGCTCTCCATACGCTCAGTCCACTGGAGCTGAGAAGGCAGCATGCTGCCCCTGAGGCAAAAGCGAAGTTGATGCACAGCCTAGTGTGTGATTATCCACTCAGTTTGGTCCCTGTACCCTAGCTCCACCAGGAAGATGGAGACAGAGCTTTGGGGTGGAACAAGAATGTACAGACAGGCATATCCTTCCCTCCCTCAGACCTCAGTTCCAGATCTTCTTAGGATACAGGATGTTGGGACATATGGAGATGGAAACTGTTTCTCTATGACATGACCCTGGTCCTCAGACTGGGCTCCTCCCCTGGGTCTCTGTCCCCTAATAATTAGCCCCAGATGGGCCAGTGGCCCCTCCCTCAACCCTCATTAGCTCTAAGTAAGCAAAAGCCTGGGAGGAAGGCCACAGAGGCTTGGGGACACCAGTGCCTGCTTCATCCCCTGCTCATGGACACACTCTGGGAACCTTTTCTCTGAGGGCTCACTGGGATTCAGGATATGATGAAAGATCACACACCCTCCCTAAGCTGTATAGTTGAAGGTAAAAAGGAGACTGATGTAAAGGTGTAGCCTAGAATTCCAGCTCAGCCTCACAATGGACAAGTTTGCCAATGTATTTGAGCCTCAATTTTTTAAACTGTAAAAATAATACAATGTCTACCTAACAGCCTTCACATCTGCTGGTCACCTTCCCTCATCTCCATTTGTCTGTTAGGAATCAATACTCCCCTTCCACCTGTATTCAAGAGTCAACCTCTTAGTGTACTTGCCAACATCATTTAGGGCACAGAGGAGAGCAGGGAGGGTCCCTACCTTGAGTTATACACAGCTGAACCTGGCACCCCATATCCTCACCCCCCAAAATCCTATCACAGGCTATGTGACCCATCGTCAAAGATTCCTTCATCTGACTCTGTAGCCTCCCACAGGCAACAGCCTACCCCCAGACTCACTTCCTCCTTCCCAATGAGATTGAGTCATCCCCAGCACAGAGGTCCAGAGCTCTGGTGGCCAGAGATGTTCACCTCCTTCCCCTGCCTCTGAACCTTCAGCATCCTGCCCTTTGCTGAGACTAAAGTAACCTGCAAGTGAGTGGGTAACTCCCGCAGGGACCACTCAGAATATGCAGTGGAGGGGGAGGGAGAATGACCACCTACCTCGGCAAGACTCAGCTCTGTCTTGATCAACTCTTTCAGTTCCTTCCTACTCAGGGTCAGCTTGCTACCCTCTCTCCCCGAATATTTGTGAAAAGTGGTAACCATGGTGGTCAGGGCCTTCTCAAGCGGAGTCTCCATCACAATGTGCACTCTGGAGTGGGAGAGAAGACAGTCACAGTGCTGGAGAAGACCTGCTCCCACCAGTTCATATCCAAAGCCCTTCCTACACCTCACCATGGACAAGGTTCCACAACAAGACCAAATTCCACCAATAAAAGGACCACTCTACATCCAGACAGGTTGTAACGAGAGCCACAGCAAACACTAGCACAGTCAACACAGTGAGAGTGCCCAGACCCCAGAGGAGACTACAGGCTTCCCTACAGGTGCTGACAAAGGGGGCCAAGGACTGACAGAAGACAGGATAGCTTCTTCAAAAGAACTGGTGAAGCCAGGCATGGTGGTACATGCCTTTAATCCCAGCACTTGAGAGGCAGAGGCAGGAAGATTTCTGTGAGATCAAGTCCAGCCTGCTCTACATAGTAAGTTCCAGGCCAGCTGGGGCTACATAGAGACCCTGTCTCAAAACAAAACAAAACAAACAAAACAAGGACTGGTGGCAGGTGTACAGCAGATAAAAAGTCCGGATTTTCCTCTTCTTGGTGCAGTTTAGCTGCTGACTTGCCAGAGGCAGCTCCCACCTTCTCACCCTACATTCCTCAGCCCCTGGATCACCCAGATGGAGGAGTTTCTCATTATAAAAATGGGGGAACAGGGAAAAAAGGGAGTACAGGAGTCAGAAGGGACTGGGGCTGAAACCGGGAGATAAGATCTCAGCAGGAAGCAGGAGAGAGGTGACTGGACTTTCCTAGTGACCTCCAGTTTGGTGCCCACAGCCTGGCCAGGAGGCAGAGAGGGATGGCACCTATTGGCATGGCTAGGAGAGGATCCTTCTGAGGCTTGGTTCTGGAGGTTGAGTTTGAATGATGGTCTTACATCTGTCTGTACAGTCACCCCACCAAGAGAGCAGGCAGCTGGAGCTGGTGGCACTCAGACTTAAAAACACTTCCCCTTAGGGTATGTTTTTAACCTCACAGAACATCCACTGGTGGATCCTGTGGAGAATCCTGAGCAGGGAGGAAGAAATGACTGACTCCCACCTCCAGCCCAAAGCCCTCCCAGAAGTTCTTGAACTGGACCCAATACTCATCTCCCCCACCAAGAGGATCCACTTCTCCCACCTCAAGGAGGCTTAGCCACATCATCAAGGCAAGGGAGTTTCAGCATCTGAAGAAGCTAATTGTGCTGTCCCTCTCCCTCTTCTTCTCCCCTCCGTCCCTTCCTCTCTTCCCCCTCTATCCCTGAAATAGCATCTCAGTGTGTGTCCTAGGATGACTAGCCTAAAACTCATGACCCTCCTGCCTCAACTTTCTTACTATTAGGATTCCAGGCCTGGACTCGGGAAATTCTTGCAGTCACAATTCCAAGTACTCTGCCCTCTCCTCACTGAGCACACTCCCACTTCCAGGCTAGGCCTTCCTTGTGGAGGTCACTATGACTTGTCATACACTTCTTCACCCAGGCTGACCCGGCAGAAGTGAAGGAGATCATGAGAAGGAAGGACTCACCAAAGAGGGAGTGAACCCAGAGAATCCAGTCAGCAGCCACAGACTCCCAGCCAGTGCACTCTGCCTTTATTCCCTTGTCCCCAATGCCCAGGAGATTCAGAAGGGGTAGGGCCAATGAGAGGGGGTCAGGAACATGAGGACTTCCAGAACAGCCTCCTGGGACAGGGCTTAGGGGAACCCTCTCAGCCAATCTTGACTTGCTGTTTATAAATGGGGGGGGGCACGTGGAATTCACCATGGAACACGTATTTTCAAAACCAGAAAACATTTTTCCAAACAAAAGTTATCATCTGGTGAAGTGATAAGCAGAAGGGAAGTCAGGTTCTTCTGAAAGAAGAGGTAGAAGGTGTGGGCAAAACCAGGATTCTCCCTGTACACTAAGCCACTCTACATTGAGACCCTCCCCCTCATCCTCCCATCCGTTCCAAGAGCAGAGAAGATCCACCTTGAGATGGGATCAGGGAGAAAAGATACTTCCTGTCAAGGGCATGGCTAAGGTCATTAGCTAACATGAGGTCGAAGATGGGAAAGAATTATCAGAGACTCCTGGCTTGCAGGACTAAGACTCAAAGGTTGAAGAGGGGGTCCAAAAAAGGGTGAGGGCCTAGAGATGGATACAGACTATAGACAAGTAAGGAAGTCCAGGCTTAGGTTGCAGTTATGGATGGGGTAGAGGTCTAGGTGAGTTGTCTATACCCTGGGGACACTCAGACTAAGTTTAAGAACAGAATTGCATTAGGGGCTTAGTAGCTATCACGGCTGCAGGCCCACCCTAGCCTGTCTAGGTCTTCTCCGCTGCCCCCTTTGCCACCCCACCCAGGCTGCTAGGCTAGTGAAACAGTTGGGACTGGTTGTTAAGCAACAGGAGTTTCCGAAGCAGAGAGTGATACAGGAGGCTCAGGGGAACACACTCCCTCAGAAGATGGGCAGACTTACTGGGAGTGCAACGGAGGAGGCAGGCTTCTCCTGGACCTAAGTCTCTGTAGTCAAACTCCAAGGGAACATCTGAGTCACCTACCTCCCTCCTCTGGGGCTGGAGGGAAAAGCACAATGTGATGAGAAGACAAACTTGAGGTCAAGAGTACCAAACCTTCCAGACTTGGGACAGCCTCTATGTACCCCTTTCTTAAAGGTCCTCCTATCAGGGGCTGGAGAAATGGCTCAGCGGTTAAGAGCACTGGCTGCTTCTGCAGAAGACCCGGGTTCAGTTCTCAACACCCACATGGCGGCTAACAACCGTCTATAACTCCAGTTCCAAGGGATCAGATGCCCTCTACTGGCCCCTCAGACACTGCACACAGGTGACACACTTACAAACATGCAGGCAAACCATCCATACACATAAAAATAAATATAAATAAATAAATTTTAAAGGTTCCCATATCATCCAGGCAAGGCCTTGAAGTTGAATCTCAGTCCCACTCACTGCACCCCAGAACCACTGACCTTTAACCTACCCTAAGAGGAAGCAACATTATGCCTCATGTTTTCTAGGGGTGAAAAGATGAGGAGATGGAGAATCAATCTTATCAGATCATATGTCCAAAATTTCATTTCTAAAACTATAGCCACCGCCCATCATCTCCTTCCCTCCCACCAGCCACTACACCCCACTCATTCCCTCTGAGGTCGCTTGTCCTCTAAGGAACATGATTCTTACTGATAGTGGATCTTAGTTCACGGACTTTTGAGGCAGAGACAGTGTGTTAAGAGACTGACTATGAGCCGGGCATAGCGGTACATGCTTTTGATCTCAGCAATCAGGAGGCAGAGGCAGGCGGATCTCTGTGAGTTCGAGGCCAGTATGGTCTACATAGTGAGTTCAGGACAGCTGAGGCTACAGGGAAACCCTGTCTCAAAAAGACCAAAAAAAAAGGAGAACGACTATTTCAAACCAGTTATGGTAGCACACATCCTTAACCCTGGCACTCAGGAGACTGGGGCAAGAGGACCAGAAATTCAAGGCAAGCCTGGGCTACAGAGTGAGACTTTGTCTCAGATGGAGAGGAGAGAGAGAGAGAGAGAGAGAGAGAGAGAGAGAGAGAGAGAGAATTACTTTCTTATACCTCTATAAATGGTCTCCCTTTGTATTGCCCTTCCTCATCTGACCATGAACAAGAAAGGATTAATCCATCCCAGCAGTTTGAAGCCAAAATGTAAAGGGTGGCAGGGCAGGCCCTGGACTATAAATGTCAAGGCGGAATGCCAGTTCTCCTCCCCATCCCTCTCTGGCCTCAGGACTCTTTCCTCATGACTCAATTCTGTTGTCTTCCCTCCAGACCCCAACCAGGAGCAGATGTGACCTTCAATCCATCCCAACCTCAGTTTGAGGCCAGAGGCAGTTCTGGAAAGAGGAGGGAGGGTGGTGGGCTGGCTAATATCCCACATCTGGGGCCTTCCAAGCCAAGCCTCTGGTGGTCTCTGCCTTCAGTCATTCTGGAGCCTACTTTGTTGCATGTATGAATGCGCGCGTGCACACACGCACGCACACACACACACACACACACACACACACACACACGGAGGCAAAACAAGCCACACACCCCCAATGTTTACTGGTATAGTCCCCATAAAATTTCAGCCCAACTCCCAGCAGCCCCGCCACCACCACCTCATGAAATGCCCTCAGCCCCCCATCCACATCTCCAGTCTCTCAGACTACCAGTTTCATAGTTTTAAAACTCTTTATTAAACTTGTTCAACATTGTGCACATGTCTGAAAGAGCCAGGGTAAGACATTGTGCTCATGGCCGATGGGGAAGACCTCCACTGGCAGACTGTTCCCCACCTCATCTGAGGAGGTCTTCACTTCTTCCGGGGCTGTTTATCTGGAAAGCCTTCAAAGAACTCATTGCACATCATGGCAATGCAGGACAGGAAGACACAGTACTCCTGGAAGTCTACTTCGTTGTCCCTGTTGCTGTCCAAGTTGCTCATCAATTTCTGAAAAGCAGCTTCGTCTGTCCTTTTCTGGAGGTAGAAGAGGCATAGTTAGAGAACAGATGTCAGAACCAGACTGGGTCTCTGCCTCTAGCCAGGAGCTCAGGAAGCCTCCAGACAGTCCTTGGGAGCCTTGAGGCGAAGCTATGTAGAGAAGGATGCTCCTCAGATGAGGACGATGAGGCACAGTACAGTTGGAACCACATCTTCCCCTAAGTTTGCTTTAATGATCCCACTAGATAAGTCACGAAGGCAATGCATTAACAAATATAAGATGTGGTTGTTTGGGAGGAAGGACTTTGGGTATTTGTGTGTTTCCCCAGTTGCATCTTCACAAACAGAAACTCAAATATTGCCTTTCACTGAACAGATGGTCCTGGGAGTTTCATACACTGACTACCTTGGGAAGTTGCTTTGCCCTCTGACCCTTCAGTCAAATTGTGTTCACACTAAGCCTTCTCATTGCTGAGAGCTAATGAGAGGTAGGTGGTTCATGGTGTTTCTGCACCAGGTAGCCACAACCAGCTATCTGGCCTCCATCTCCCTGCTCTAGGGGATAGATGCCAGCCATGGCTATGCACTGCACCAAGGCTGGTGCCTGCCAGGGCCCCATCCTCCTCCTGGGGTTGCCCCACACATGCAGTGCTCCAGGCAGGACCCACTCACCCCCAAGAAGCTAGGCAGCTCCTTGGTCAGCAGCTCCTTTAGCTCCGACTTATTGAGCTTGAACTTATCACCCTCTTTGCCTGAGTATTTGTGGAAGGTAGACACCATCACATCCAGGGCCTTCTCCAGAGGGCATGCCATGGCAACAGTCAGGACCTAGTGGCAGGAGACACAAGGGCAAGAGACACACAGCCTCATCCCACCCCTTTGGGCAGTGTGTGAGGGCTAGCTCTGTGGCCCTGGGAATCATCCAAGTCGTAGACATAGTCTGTCCCCATTTTAAGTGCTCCACTCCACTCTCACCCTCCAGGAGCACTTAAGGAGTCTGTTCCTACCATCCAGGAGATCAGAGAAAGTGGGCCCAGCTCCTGGCAAGAGGGAAATGCTTGCTTTGGCCTGTGAACATCTGCAGAGCCCGCCACACGGGCTTTGAAGGCTCAGGTTCCTGGGCCTCCCTCAGGCTTGACCTCAACAACAGCATTTTTCCACCCCTCAGCCCATTCACTCCCACAGCTCAGCCACAAATGCCCCGCCCTGGCCCATTCTTCCTCCCAGCACTGGGTGCGGCTGCTGGCTGGCTGCCCAGGGGCCTGCAGTGGAAAAAAACCAGCTGCCTAGTGCCCAGCTTAGGGAACAGTAGGATGAGGTGGCAGAGGAGGGGTGGCAAAGGGAGGGAGGGGAGACCAGGTCCTCTTGGCCTGGGATGCTATGTGCAGGCCAGAGGCTCATGAAGGCAACTACTAGTCAAAAGCCTACAGGTGCCTTCACTTTGCTTCCTGTACCTGAGTGTGCACACACTAACTTGTACATCCCAGCAAACATAAGCTAGCATGCAAACCCATAGCTCTCAGACACCAACACACTATAGTAACACATGCATGCCCCAGCATCTCAGAAACTGAGAGCTGAAATCCAGCCACCTTTATACTTTTTTGGTTTTCGTCTCTTAGTTGCATGTTTGTGAATACAGACATACACACACACACACACACACACACACACACACACACACACCCCAGAGCTTCCACATCAGAATCTCACATTTGGATCTATTTAACACATCTGGGCCCCAGCAGCAGCCTCCCTTTCTCCTCCTTAGCCTCCGCCCCTGACACCCTTTTTGGGCCAGTTGGACCCACACAACTCACCAGATCAAGAGAGAGGAAGTGCTGAAGAGAGAGGTTTGGGGAGAACACAGCAGTCTGACCTATTTATACCCCGCCAGGCCCTGCCCCTACAGGGGATGGGGGGGCACGGATACTGCCCTTCTGCTGTTGGTCCGTGTAGTAAATGTCACAGCCCCCTTCAGCAGCCCAGGCTGGGAACTGAGCTTCCTGTTCCCCAGCAGGCATAGGTGAGCAGCGAGTGAGCCCCTGTGGGCACAGGAGGGACTTCCATGAGGTGGTCACCACCCAATGGCCACCACTCAGTTGGAGTTTTAGGGAGCTACAAGAAGAGGCAGTCTGGGCCTCGGGCATAGGAGACAGGACCAGAGTAATCCCATCAAGCAGACAGGAAAAGACGTGGAGGGTGATGGGCAACAGGTAGGAAATTGCCCTGGAAATGTGGAGGCACAGGAGGTAGGAAGGTGACCCTGGCCAGGCCTGTGAGACAGTCAGACGGCCCTTGTCCTCAGCCTAAAAGTTCTTGGTCATGCTCAGTAAGGCCCAGGGTGGGGGCCGGTGGATCAGGAGGAGCTGCAGGACCACCCCAGGAATATCAGTAAGGTTCTAGGAGGCTCGACAGAGTAGGGGTGGGAGTGAGGTCTGGTGACTCAGGGATGGGTGAAAGTCAGAGAGGGTATCCAAGGGAGCCTGTGGGGTTGGACACCAAGACTGGAGTAGAGAGTTAGAAATGAAAATGCCACAAGATGGCGTTGTCAAGATCAGGGCTAACCTCTAAGGATGGAGTACAAACTTAGGAACTGGGTGAGAGTCAGAAAGAGGGTTCAGGCCTCAGGGGAGCTGTGTCTTTAGAGATGGGGACTGCCTCAAGGTGTCCCCTTCCCCCTTCAACATAGAGTATCCCTCCCTGGTGGGGAGCAAATACGTCAAAGGTGCTAATCCTATTCCTGCTAGTCTCAGGGCTCTGGCAGCCACACCCACACCCACGCCCACACCCATAGCCACACCCTCCTCCTCAGAGCATCTGGCCATGAGTACTGAGTTTCTCCCAGGGAACACTCCTGTCCTCCTAGAAAGCCCAAGGCAAGGACTTCCACCTCAAGACAAAGGCCAGAGAGGCAGAAACAGAGAGGTCCTCCAACCTCCCCTGGTGGGAGTCCTTGTGTTGACCACCTTCATGATGGACCCTGAGACCAGTGCACTTCTGCGGGGTCTGAAATTGCCTTTGAGGTCTGAGGAGCTCTAACGCTTGCCCTCAGCCTCTTTCCTCCAATAATAAAGGGTAGAGAGGAGTAAAGAATGCAGAAGGACCCAGTCCCAGGGCCCTGTGTGTCCCCCAGAGGAACCAAACCAGCCAAGCTGACGCCATTTCTTTATTAGGAGTTGAATAGTGGTCCCAATTGTGCACATACAACTGAGCATCCAAGGTGAGAGCAGAGACATGCCCCCACCCCATCTAAGCAGAGACAGCAGAGGTGGCTGCTGTTCCACTTCTCACTAGCTAGGCATCCCTAGGAAGGCCTCTAAACCTCGTGGGGGTTATTGCATCAGGGGCAAACGCGGAGCATCCAGATTGAAAGGGCTGCTGGAGAATGGGGTAGGGATAAACGCCCAGGACCACCTCAGGGGCAGAGATGGAACACTGAAGCAGACCCTGCCCCTCCGGGTTGGCATGACCCTCTGGAACAGAAGCTACTGGGGGCAAGGGGGCTCTGGGGGGCACTCCTTGAAGTATTCGTGGCAGTAGAGACAGAGGCTGGCAAGTGAACGCACGTATTCCTCAAAGTCCACCTCGCAGTCCTTGTTGGTGTCCAGAACACTCATGAATTTATTGTAGTCACACTCTCGAAACTCACTCTGGAAGAGACAAGAAGGAAGGATCAGAAAAGCAGGATGAAGACGGAACAACTTCCCACCCCGCTTCCATCCCTCCCTCCTTGGGTAGGCCTACCCCTTTCTAACCCACAACTTCCTGGGAGTCACCCTCACCTATCTTTCCAGATAAGAAGCCCACTTCAACCCCCTCCCAGCCATGCTTCTCAGCTCATTTGTTGAACACCTGCTCTTTGCTACTCAGTGCCTGCTGTAAGGTAGGCATTCTCTGCGGAACAGCAGGATGATATATCATCCTATTTTATAGTTGAGGAAACTGAGGCTCACACCATATGAGCTGGCTTTTGTCCATCTCCTCCTCACTGTCTAGCCTCTTCTCCCTTGCTGTCCTGAGCTGGTGCTTGGCCCTCTCTGCAGAGTCCAAGTGGGAGGTCCTCCCACAGGTGGGGAGAGCTGGTGGCAGGGTGCTCACCGGGGTCCAGGTGGGCAGCTCCTTCTGCAGCAGCTCCTTGAGTTCCGACTGGCAGATCTTGTACTTGTCCCCACAGCGCCCCGCATACTCCTGGAAAGTGCACACGATGGCAGCTATTGCCTGCTCCAGGGGCCGGGTCATTCTCACTGTCACAAAACAAGAGCGTGACTGACAGCAGAGGCCCAAGCTAGCTCCTCTGCTCACCTCTCCCTCAGTGTTTCCTAGATACCAGTTCCAGACCTATCAATCTCCATTGTACCAAAGCTCCCCCTTCTCCAAGCAGCCCTCCCTGAACAATGCAGCCATCCTGGTCCCTCCCCACCCCACCATACACACACACACACACACACACACACACACACACACACACACCTATGCCTATTATGATTCTCCTGGGCAGAGGTTTCATTTCCCCAACATCAGTATAATCTCAGGAAGAGAATATCCTACCCCACCACCCTCACCCCCACCACAGGGCTCCCTAAGGACTCTGGTTCCCTCCCACCATCTATCACCCCAACACCCAGTCCCCCATTGGGCACCATTCCTTGAGTTGCAGCCCCTGGCTCTAGAAGCCTCCTGAGGACCTGGAGCCCCATTTCTCAGGAGGCTCTGTCCAGTGCTTCTTTACCCAGGCTCTGAGTAAAGGGGTGCGAGCAGGGATGGCCAGTCCCTACCACCTCACCATGCTTCCTTCCCTGAACTCAAGAAAGCTGCCACCAAAGGAAAACCAGGGACCTCATCCTCCTGCTTTTGGGGTTTTTTGGGGGGAGTATCTTTTTGAGATAGGGTCTCCCTGTAGCCCCAGCCGGCCTAGAACTCATAGAGATCTGCCTGCCTCCGTCTCCCAAGTGCTGGGATTAAAAGCATGTGCCACCATGCCCAGCTGTCCTGCTAGTTTTGCAGCCCTGGGAAAATTGTTTCTTTCTGGGCCTCAGGCACCTTAACTATAAAGTAAAGTTAATCCAGCCTCATAAGCCTAGTCAGAAACATGGGCCAAGTAGTCTCTGCAACGTCCACCAGCTCAGGAATCTATCCATCCATGATCTGCCCCACCCTATAGCCAACCTCCCCTCCCCTGGGGGGGGTGGGTCTTAAGACAGAAGGCTCTGAAGAGAGTCCCCAGTTCTGGTGGAGGGGAAGCATTTCCTGGGATTCCTCCCTTCACCCCAATTCTAACACCCCCTTCCATTGCTCTCTCAGGATGAAACCTCCAGCCTGGGGAAACCCTGGGTATGCAGTAAGGCAATAGAATTGTTTCCATGTGAGCCCAATGACTCACTCCTGGTTCCCCCAGGGGACTGGAGTCCTACAACACAAGGCAGCCAAAGCCTAGACTCCGCAGTGAGTTCCCTTCGCTGGAAGCACATAGCCATCATGATTGTGGCTTGAAAGGAAGTAGGAGAAGAGAGACTAAGGTGCCAAGCACTGCTGGGGTCTAATTCTTTGTGACAGTCCTGGACTGGAACAGAGATCCATGTTCCCAGGAGAGGAAAGTACCATGATCCCAGGTGTATGGCACCTCAGAGCCCCTCTTGGAGCCTGCCAGCCTGCCGGGTGCCGTTCTAGTTGCTGTTTCAGAAGCTCAGAGCTTGGAGGCTCACAGGAATCCACACTCCTCCTACAGCCCTGGCCTGTCCCAACTCATTCCCAGGAATGAAGCCAAGAAGCAAGGAGCAGGGGCAGAGAGCTAACTAAAGGCAACACCAGAACTTTCAGCCATTGCCCCATCTCTGGGTGAGACCTCTGCACACCTCCCAAACCAAAGTTCCTAACAGCCCCTCAGGGTATAAGGAAACCTCCGAGTGAGCCGTACCACATCTCATTTCCCTCACCCCATCACCTGCTAGAGTCATCTCAGCTCCTAAACCCAGACCCTGTATCAAGAGACACACTGGCTGTTTAGGGTTGCTGAGTAGCCCCAACACCAGCCCAGAGCACTACCCAAGCAGCCATACTCACCACTGCTGTTGGTGGTTCAGCTGTAGCAGCCTAGAGACAAGGCGTCCCTATTTGTAGCCTCTCAAGTGATGAAGGGAGCAATTATAAGGACCCAAGTAGGTCAACGCTGAGGCTGCCCCCAGGGTCCCCTTCCTTCTTCCCTCAGTAGCCTCTATTACAGGCCCACCCGCCCACCTAGCCACGCACACATCAAAGACCCAGTCTGAGCCTCAGACACCACTCCCCACTCATTCTTCCTCTGCCCTCACCTAGAGCTGGAAACTGGGGACAGCTTCCTGAAAGCATCCTCTAGCCCCACACATCCCAATGAAGAAATACCTTAGACTTTCTTACATTGTACCTAAGGAGAGCATCTGGCTAAGCCCCCTATTTACAGATGAGAAGATGGAGGCCATGAGACAAGCTCCCTGCCCAGTCTCCAAAGCTTTGAGTGTTTGGTGGCCTTTGACTGTGAATTGCTTACTTCCCTGGAGGAAATTGTTGGGGGGGGGGTATTTTTGAGACCTAGAAGAAAGTTGTTTTCTCCTGGGGAACCTCCAGCAGTCAGGGCTTGAACTTTCTTGCCTCTCTACCCCAAGTGACAGGGATGAATTTGGGTCATAGATTCATGTGAGAGCTGGCTTGTCGCTGGAGCTCCTAAGAAGCCAGTTCCCTTTTCCACTGCTCTGTTCAGCACTGAGGCAATTTTCCTAGCAGTCCTGGGGATGGATGGAGTCTTCTGCCTTTCAGCTTAAGCATGTTACCCTTTGGGGTTCATGTCTTCACTGTCTCTCTCCTCTATGGACCCTGGGCTTCAGCGTATCTTCCTTACTCCCCAAACCATCAAAGTCAAAACCTAGGTTGGATGTGGCCCTCACCCTCAAAGGACATGCCAACCTCCCACCAAATTTTACTTTCAGTTAAGATTTTTTATACTTTGTATGTGTTTGTGCGTTTAAGATTCATTTATCTTTTTTTTTTTAAGTCTTTTTGAGACAGGGTCTCCCTGTAGCCCCAGAAACTCACTATGTAGACCAGGCTAGAGATCTCCCTGCTTCTGCCTCCCAAGTGCTGGGATTAAAGGCATGCGCCACCACACCCGGTACTGTGTGTGTGTGTGTGTGTGTGTGTGTGTGTGTGTGTGTGTGTGTGTGTGCATGTGCATGCATGGGTGCCCTCAGAGCCAGAGAGAAAGTGTGGGTTCCCCTTGGAGCTGGAGTTACAGGCAATTGTGAGTCACTTGACACAAATGCTGGGAACCAAACTCAGGACCTCTGCAAGAACAGCAACCATGGAACCATCTCTCCAGCCCAGATTTTTGACAGGCGTTTTCTTTAATGTCTTATTGTTCTTTGATGTTTTGAAAGAGATAACTTTCTTTCTCCACTGTATTTCCTGTTGCTCTTTCTTAGGTGGGCAGTTAGAGACCACTATTTATCAGAAATGGAACTCGTCCTGCTGCTTCTCTGCTCTCTTCCTATTCCTAAATTTCCCTGTTTCACAGAAAGAGAACCCAAGATCCAGAGGAGTATAAGAAAGGGAAGAAGAGTTTTTCTCCCAGGCAGTAAGGAAGCCCTGGTATCCTTGTGGGCAGTCTGAGAGCTAATGAGCCCTTGACCTTACCTGGGGTCCAGCACGCAGCTTTGCCTGGGCCATCATCACCTCCTCAAGGCTTCAGGCCCTGTGGGTGAGGGGAGAGAGCAATGGAGGCTCCGGGGAAGGAAGAGTGATGATTAGCCTGTTTTATTGCAAGGAATTATGAGCAGCCAGGACAGAGGACAGAGGAATGACCATAGCAGCAGGAAGGGCCAGAGTGGACCAGCAATTAATTCGCTTCTAGGTCAGTGACTTATTCCCTGTGTCAGTCCTAGCTCAGCCACCAACCACCTTAAACAGGTCACCTCTGCTCTGATTTTCCTCATCTGTCAATGATAGAAAATATACTAACCACCTCATCGGGTTATTGTGGAGTTTAAATGAGTTAACACATGCAAGACTTGTGGAATAAATATTGCTAAAACATAGTATGAACTTGTATAAGTCTTTACCAAGAGTAGTAACTTGCCCAAGGTCATATAACTAGTGAGCAGCAGGCTCAGATTCATTGTTCATATAAATATGTAGAGGCACTGGTACTGGGCATCGGGGGTATAGCGTAATCAAAACAGATACAGACCCTCTCTAGGAAGATGACAATCTAGCAGGAGAAACAGACAGTAACAAATCAATGTTTAATGGGCTGGAAGAGCCCAGTAGCCTGGCTCATGTGCTCACGTTCTTATCCACTTGTTAAGTGCTCACCAGCACTTAATGTTTCTGGGCACCACAGCAGCTCCTGGGAAGGCAGCACCTTTTTCCACAGGGAGAAATCTGGGAGAGGCCAGACTAAGGCTACAGAGGGGAGGGAGCTCACTGAGAAACCATATCTCAGAGTCATGGAAAGAGAAACATCTTGGTAGAGAAGTGGGGGTTGGAGGACGAGCATGGAAAGAACATGTAACTGGACCCTCACTCAGCCCTCCACCCAGCCTCACCATCTGACTCCAGCATGTTCTGTCTTGTACCTTGATAGACTTAATTTCTTTACCTCCAAAATGAGTTTGGAAGAATCCAAAGTGCTGCAGGACAAGGTGGTACACAGGAGGCAGAGGCAGAAGGATCTCTGTGAACTCAAGGCCAGCCTGGTCTACATAGGGAGTTCCAGGCCAGTCAGAGCTACATAGTAAAAGGTTTTTGGTTTTTTTGTTTTTTGGTTTTTTTTTATCTTTTGAAGCAGGGTCTCCCTGTAGTCCCAGGTGATCAGTAAAAGGTTTTTTTAAAAAAGAATTCAGAGTACTTTCTATCACTAGCTATTACTGTGGCAATGTCAGGGCCTCTAAATCTAACTCAGTGAATACACACTGAGTCACCTGAATGGGGGACCAACCCATCCTCCCCAGGTCATCTTGTCCAATCTTGAACTCCACAAAGGTGGAGGTTAGAGCTCTAAATTCTCTTTCCTTGCTCCCAAAACACTTTTTTTTTAGTTTTTCTAATATTTTATTTAAATTTTTTTATTTTTATGTGTATAAGTGTAATGCCTGCATGTATGTAAGTACACCTGTGTTATACAGTGCCCACAGAGGTCAGAAGAGGGTGTCGGATCCCCTGGAACTAGAGTTAGGATGGTTGTTTGCCACCATGCGGGTGCTGGGAACCAAACCCAGGTCCTCTGCAAGAGCAGCCAGTGCTCTTAACCACTGAGCCATCTCTCCAGCCCCCCAAAAAACAAGTTTTAAAGTGTTTGGAATCTTCTGCCCTACCAGAAGTTCTCCAGCATCTACCCTGAATCCCCTTTTCTTCAGTGGCCCTCAATGCATAGCAGTGGACCACAACTCCAAGGCCTGGACAAGATCCTTCTCCCTTCTCACCCTTCACTGTCCACATACTCAATCCTCCACCCTTGGACTCAGCCTAGTACCCGTGACTTCTCACTTCCTATAGCTCCCCATGGCAGATGTACAGTTGACAGCTGAGAAATGTGCCAGTTCTGGAGGGTGAAGTGCTCTCTCCCCCAAGGATCAGCATGCGGGTGTGTAAAGGGTGAAAGAAGATGCCGTCTGATCTGGCAGGCCTTCTTATTGACACTCCAACTCTCCCTCATCTCCGCCCCCCCACACCGCCCCGTCTTCCCACTATCACCACCATCGCCTTACCAAGGACCCTGGAAACTTGACCACCCCTCAGAAGCTCAGTGTCTGTTCCTGCACCTCAGGGAAAAATAAGATAAAGTGTCCTAAGCATCTGGACACTCTGTTTATTTCTGGCAAAAGGACCTTGGCCCTGAGGCCAGGGTGACCCACCCAAATTCCACAGCCCCATGGGGACAAATGAACCTGATCAAAAGGACTGACCTCCTTTATGATCTTCTGAGCCAAGTATGGAGAAAATATGGGATGGGGTATTTGATTCCTGAGGCCAAGACTGGATCCAGGAAGGAAGCTGGAGCCAAGCCAGAATTGGAACTGGGAGGTGGGAAGAGGATCAGAACTGGGATCAAGGAGAGCCAGAGACCTTCCTCTTGTTTCGACGGCCAAGTCAATAACTGGTTGTGTCCATTGCACAGATGAGAACAATGAGTTGGTGGAGAAATCAAGTGACCTACAGATGGGAGCTGTGGATGGGACGCTAGTTCACTCCCACTTCTCAGAACCCATAACTGAGGGGAAAGAAAGAAACATTCTAGCTTTGATTGCACTGAATAAACTTCAAAAGTCAACTTTGGAGCTCACCAGCTGACCAAGTCTCTTGCTAGCTCAATTGGAGATGGCATCTCTGATGTTTGGCTTAAAATAATAACGGCCAGGTAGAAAGATGGCTCAGTGGTTAAGAGCACCAGCTTGTCTTTCAGATGACCAGAGTTTGGTTCTCAGCACCCACATGACAGCCAACAACCATCCTTAACTCCAGTTCTGAGGAATCCAATGCCCTCTTCTGGCTTCTGCAGGCATTGCACACACAGGTGCAATTATATACAGACAAAACACTCACATACATAAAATGTAAATAAATAAATAAAATTTAATAGTAATAGTCACCCAGGGTAGCCTGGGCTACATAGGCAGTGGCAGACCAGCCAGGGCTTCATAGAAATACTTTGCCTCAGATAAACAAACAGACAAACAAATGCAAATGCTAAGAAGCTCTACCGCCATGTTGCATCTGTCTCCTTTGCTACCTTAAACTTTGAGTCAGATTCTGCTCAACTCTACACGTAGACATGTTAGTCACTTTATGAATGCTTGTCTGGGACTCCCAGTACAAGACAGATTTGCCCTAACCTTTCTCCTCTCCCTTCAAGACTGAAGACACCAAGATAAGAGTAACTAAGATAGTTTCAAAATTCACAGGGACATCACCACCTTGCAGTTGCACATGTACCACCCACCAGGTTTCTCCGTTTCCTGTTCTGATCCTCCAAAGAGGCGTGGAGCAGTCTCGGGTCTCAGTTCATCTTCAGTGTAAGCCCCTCTTCTCTTCCACTTGCCTAAGGGCCTCGACTACTAAGTTAAGATGATTTTTCTAGCCATCTTTCCCATTTTGCTGACTTTCTGAACAAATCTTTTTACTTGCCCTTGATTCATTGGTTTCCTTTTTGAGTGGTTGAGCAATCAGACTTGGCCTTCAGTCTCCCTTGGTGGAGGATTAGAGAGCTACCAGGGATTTGCCCAGAGGACCAAAGGCCAAAGTGATGGCAAGATATGACAGGTGGTGAGGGTCCTATGTCTCTCCTCCCAGTAACAATTCCAGGAGGAATAGGGGACCCTAACCTCCCTAACCTGAGGGAACAGATCCTTGAGCAGGGCAATTTCCAGAGCCTCCTCTGCCTCAGCCCAGAGAAGAGGGGAGCTTCTTAGTCTGCCTTCAAAAGCCTGATGTCGGTTGTCAAACACCAAAAGCAAAATTGATTAGCCCCTCTGAAAACTCCCCAGCTGGGGGAAACCCCAGAAGTAGCCAGCTAAGTCTGGTCTCACCAACCCCACAGTCCCAGATCCAAAACTGAGAAAACAGCACCCAGGAAGCACCTAAGGCCCAAAAGAAATCAGACTGCACAGAGCCAACCAGAGGGCTCCACTCCCTCCGCCGTGGCTCAAGGTGGAACGCCAGGTTCATCTAAACCCTGCTCAGCAGGGTCCCCTGTAGCGCACACAGAGCCTAAAGCTCTGGAAAGGGGAAGGAGGCCCTGTCTACCAGCCCAGTGTCCTACAGGGATGGGAACTTTTCTTTAGAGATGTAGGTCAAACCCTCACACTTGTCCTTATTTAACCTCTCCCAGCATCTGCACCTTGCAGATGCTGGGAGGATTAAATGGCTGGTGCCTGATAGGCCTAGCTGAGCACCTGGTCAAAAAGGGCACTCCCCGAATGACAGAAGTTGCCCCCCTCAGTACTTCTATCTGTAAAAAGGGTCTAATGATAGCTCCTCTGGGGTTACCATGAGGCTGAAATGACAGTGTGAGCACAGGAGCTTTGGGAACTGCTGTGGGCTGTTAATTACTGTCATCATGATTTCCTGTCCTATACTTATTGGCTCCCTCTTGTTCAGGATGTCAGGAGCTTCTTTTTCTCTTTTTACTGTCATGTAAAGAGATCATTTGTCCTAGAGGGACACAGATATACAAATAGGGAAGAGCACTGAAAACAAGTGGTTGTCACATCCTCTTCTGCAGAGCCCCTTCTGAGCTACTCTGCAAGCAGCCCCCAAGCATCAGAGTTTCCCAGGGAAGGAAGAAAAATAAGGAGACTATCAAAAGTGTTACTTCTCACTTATCCACTGTCCATCCCCTCTATTATAAACCACTCCCTTTTCTTCCCTTTCAAGGTATCTACACGCCCAGTGAGGAGTAGCTATATTATTAACAGCTAAGGTCCAAAAGACGATGAAGCCCTGTTTAGAAAGGACACTTCTGCCACCTTAACAAGCAAAAGCTCTTGAGGAAAAAGCTCTTCACATCTCACCCTCACTCTGTCTTCCATCCCAGAGCATGAGCAGTGAGACATGGAGGCATAACAGCCATGATCATGAGGCATCAAACAGTGGGGGATGAGGTATGTGCTGTAGATTAGAGATCAGAACAATGAAAAGGCACTGGGTTTAAGATGTGTCACTGGGAGCCTAACCCAACCTCAGAACAGCTGACTTCTTAAGTAAGATGATTAAAGTCACTGCCATTAGGTTTTCTACAAGTTACTGCTGGAAACTCTTAACTAGTAGAGAAGTTGACATCTTCTTTTATTGTGTGTGCATGATGAGGAGGGGTAGAGTGCATGTGTGCTATGGCATGCCTGAGGAGATCAGAGGGACAGCTGCTTTAACGGGGTCCCCCTGAATCTGAGCCAACATTAATGACATGTGCTCAATAAAATACAGCAGAAATGTGTCCTAGAGATTCTGAAGTAAGTCTTTAAAAGCCTTGCCGCTTCCATTTGTGCCTCTTGCAATGCTCACTCTGACATAAGTCCTCTCAGAAGCCAGCTGCCATGCTCTGAGAAGCCCATGCTACAGAGAGAGACCATGAGTAGGCACCAAGAGCTGATCGTTCCAGCTGAGCTCCAAGCAAAGAACCAACACTGATTGTAAGGCATGAGGGAGCACCCTTGGATGACAGTAGCCCCAACTTCCATCTGTCACTGCATGACACACCCCAAGTAAGAGCCCACCAGTAAACCCAGTCTACCCACAGAACCATGAGAAATAATAAATTTATGTTTTAAGTCACCATATACTAGGTCGGTTCATTGTGCAGCAATGGGTAGCCAGTGGGGCATCTATGAGTAACTGAACCAAACTTAAACTGCCCAGCCATAAATCTCAGCATGTGGGGCATTCAGAAGTCTGATTAGTTAAGCTACTGCTTGTCAGACCTTGTGTGACTTCCAAATGAATGCATGCCTAATTGGTAGCATATCCAGTATAAGTAAGATCCATCAAGAAAAAGAACTTAGGGCTGGAGAGATGGTTCGGCGGTTAAGAGCACTGGCTGCTCTTGCAGAAGACCCAGGTTCGATTCCCAGCACCCACATAGTGTCTAACAACTGTCCATAACTCCAGTTGCAGAGGATCCAGTGCCCTTTTCCAGTCTCTGTGGGCATTGCACAACATGGGTGCACTTATTTACCTGCAGGCAATATACTCATACATATAAAATAAAAATAATAAATTAAACATTTTTTAAAAAAAGAAGAAGAAAAGAAAAAGAACCTAAAACATGAAATCAGATGGAGATTAGAAAGAGAGAAATAAAAGGGCCTGGAGTTTATAAGCTGGAAAGCTGGTGACCTTTGTTATGTCACAACCAAGTCATATGGTCAGATTGTCATCTGATATGCCTTAGGATATAGAAGGCCACCTAGGCTGCAGTTTCAGGGCCCATGAGCTGACAAGGAATCCTTAGAATGAGGCTGTGCAAGGCTAGTTAAACTAGCTCCTGCATGGTTCCTAGGACCACTCAGGACTCACAGTATTGAATGTTAAGGTCTGTGCTTTGTTCTAAGAGTACACCCTTCTTTGTCATATTTGAAATTTGGAGTTTTATGAAATTACTGTAATTGTAGCTAGTCTTTGCCCTTTTCAAATACCTTCCTTGACAAAATAAAATGTTATCAGCCTATCTCAATTCCCCAAATTTTATTTGTACGCAATCCCAGGGTGCTACTTTTGGCCTCGGGGAAAGTCTAGAAGGAGAATCAGTATGGAAGGTGGTGGGACCCAGAAAACCCCGTTTCCAGCACTTTAACTGGGGCAGCCAGGTTATAAAGCATCACTGAGCCATTACAATATTGTCCGGAGACCCATAGCAGGAAATGGAGCACACCACTTCAAGGCTGGTCTGGGGCCCACGCGAAGAAGTCGTTGCACATCATAGTGACAAGGGCCAGAAACACAGCATATTCCTGGAAGTCCATCTGCTGGTCACTGTTTTCATCGAGGTCGCTCATCAGCTTCTTTAACCCCTCCTCATCCACCTTCTCCTGAAAGAGACATGGACTGGATTTATTACCAAGCCGGTCCTCGCCCCATCTCCGCATCAACGCACCTACCCAAATCCTGTCTGTACATCACCATCCAGCTCTTCCTCCTCACTGGGCAGCCAGGTACATAGTGGGCAAGGAGCCCCTGAGAGCTAAGCGGGCCCAGTGAGGAAGTACAGATAGACCTATGATGTTTTAAGTTTCCAGCATGCCTGTTGGTGTGAGAGATGCTGGACATTCCTCAGAGCACATAGAAGTTCTAATCCCTGCTGGAGCCCAGATTCAATCTGCTGATGAGAGAGATGAAGCTCACCACTCCCCTACATCACCAGGATGAATTCAGAAAAGACAAAGTTTTTTAATATCAACCAAAACAATTAAAAAGGATTAACCCAAAACAAGCAAAAAAAAAAAAGAAAAAGAAAAGGCAAGACTTGCCTCATAAGGTAAGTCTGAGACCTGACTTCATTACCCATTAGTCAGTACGGTGCAGGACAGATTGACAGGCAACTGCTCCTCTCCACAAAATGTCCCCTGTCTTAGCTGGGCCTCATTCTCTCTGCATACCTTCTTGGTTTGGCATATGAATGTGGAAAATAAAAGAATAGAGTAATGCTCTGGCCAGTTGTTTCCCTTCTCTGGGTTTTGGGGGCCCTGACAGCAGAGTATGCTCAGGAATGCTACAGGGAACAGCCATTAGTTGTCCCTTCACACGTGGACCTTGCTGCCACTCCAGGGGATGTGAAGCCGTGAACAAGAGCCTCGGCCCCACCCTGGCATCAGCATCAGCAGGTACTGAGGAGCGGAGGAGGGAAAAGATTTACCCTGTCCCACACTCCCCCAGACCCCCTCCTCTTGGGCAGTTCCACTCACCCCCACAAAGCTTGGCAGCTCCTTGTGCAGAAGTTCCTTCATCTCCCCCTTGCTCAGCTTGAACTTGTCACCCTCTTGGCCGGAGTACTTGTAGAAGGTGGAGACCATTGTTACCAGAGCACCTTCCAGGAGACTGGACATCTTGAATCTAGGGCCACAAAGGTGGTGGTGATAATGGAGGCACCACAACACTTGGGGCCTCAGGTCCAATCTACACGACCCATTCCTGCTTTGCCAAGACCCTCTGGGAAAGGGAAGTCAGGGCCTGCATCTTGCCCTGGATGTGTGGCTCCCTAAAGATGGGGTCCACAGCTTCACTTTATACTATAAGCAGATGTTAAACCTTTCCTATAGTCTGAGAGTCACCTAGAACAGAACCTTGTGTCCTAGGGACACACATCCTAGGGCAGGTCTCCCTTCTTGAGCGTCTGTAGGTGGGAAATAACAAGGTGGCTACAATCTCAGTTTGACTCCAGTCTGTGCCAGGTATGTGGAGCATGAGTGTGTCCATGGCTCCCAGCATGGCCTGGCAGTAGTCATGGGGACAGCCCAGGAATATGAAGGTCTCCCTGAAGGGGTCGATCCCTCCTCACACTGGGAGCCACCAAAGGCAAAGTCTCTGCCATCTAAATAGAAGCTCCCTTAGGCAGAATGTTTCCTCCCTCAGACTAGGGACTCTCAAAGAATGTGTCTCCTATCAGGCTGTGGGCTGAGTTGCACAGGGCTGGCAGGCAGGGTGAAGGCAGCCAAACGCCCTCCCCATCAGGACAGATCCTGTTGGCATTAGAACTAAAGAATTTAGTGTCTTGGGATCGGGGTGGAAGCTAGGGCAAGACAGACCTCTGAAGTCCTCTTTTCCAAAGGCCTCTGGGAATGTTGGTAGATCCCAGGATGAAGCCAGAGGAGTCAGTGCTGGAGGTAGGGAAAGCCCTGGGCCTGTCCTGCCAGGCCTGCCCTGTCAGCCCCACCCTCACCTAAGTAGGAAAGCACAGGAATAGCCACTGCACAAAGACAGGGACCCAGGCAGAGCCAAGGACAGAGGCAGGGCCGAGTGCTGAAACCATCTCTGGCTTCTTAGTCCTGATAGAATCCAGGATCGTTCATTTGTTTGCTTGTTTGTTTGTGACAGCATCTCACTACGTGGCCCAGTTTGGCCTTGACCTCATGATTTTCCTCTCAGCCTCCTCAGCACTAGGATTGCAGATGTGTTTCACTGCATCTGGCTCAAACTCAGGATTATTATAAAAGTATTCCTTACATATTCATGACCTACTACTAGGTCTAACCCCCAAAGAAGCGTCCTAGACTGAGATATCTAAACTGAGAGACAGAGAGACCTCAGACCCAGAGACCTTAGAGTAACACCTAAAGTTCTGCAAGGCACTCTAGGAAAGACCCCTCTGTCTGAAACTTCACAGAAGGTCCTCAAAATGAGAGAGGACCAAAGACACTGAAGTCTGATCCCACTAAGAAGTTAGAAAGAGAAAACCACACAAAGATCAAGACAAAGGGATAAGGACTTGGGCCCTCAGGAGGACAGAGGTACTTACCAGGCCAGGTAGCAGAGAGACCCAGAAGGGAGCAAAGGACCAGGCACCCAGAGTGAGGATTTTTATGCCAGCCTCACTGGCCCCCAACTTGTCATTTTTGGGAAACAGAACTTGTCCTAACCTGATCTCAATAAAGCCTGGCCTTCTGCCACCCTACCCATTCCCTTCCTGTCCCCTTCCTCCCAGACATCACCTACATCACCAAGAGCCTCCAGGCCCAGCCAATGGCATCTCTGAGCCCACCCAGGCCTCGGTGAAAACAGGGAGGTGTCATTGGTGTCATTTGGAAGAGGCAGCCTGGTCAGGGCTAAGGGGACACAGCCTCTGTTCTGCAGCCTGGAAACTCATGCCAAGCCTAGCTCTCATGACATGCCTGTGAGTCACAGCTCCCTCCCATCAGAGGCTGCAGGGACACAGAGCGGGTAGGAACTTGCTCGTGGGCGTGCATGTGCGTGTGTGTGTGTGTGTGTGTGTGTGTGTGTGTGTGTGTGTGTGTGTGGGGAGAGAGACAGAGAGACAGAGAGAGACAGAGAGACAGAGACAGAGACGGAGAAAAAAAGAGAGAAACAGG